GCTCCCGTTCAACTGGCAAAAAGTCAAGACGCTGAGGCTGACAACGGCGGCGGACATGTTGAACAGCAATGAACAGGTTGTTACTTGCATGTGGGTACCCGCCTGTCAGCGGACGGAGCGGAACGGAACGGACTACATGATCGACGCAGCGGGTCAAAAATTCAAGACTTTGCGTTCGGTGTGGTCGCACTCTCCTGGAATACTTACGCAGGCCGAAAGATGTTCCTCTTGAACCCCACATGTCGGAAGGGACGCGCCGTTCAGGTGAGCGGATACATGTAGCGGTCGCTTCGAGGCGGGGTAGATATGTTATGGGTGGAGATGCGGGAGTTGGCCTCCGTTCTCTTCCCACCTCCTCTTCCCTCTTCCCTCATCCTTCCCTGCTTCATCCTGGGAAGACCCCCTCTCCCGTAGAATATTAGCAGTGGTCTGCAGATCCACAGCTCCGTGGATAGCATGATGCTTCACTTGCGGTGCTCCGCGGATCCAATTTGCCCTTGGTCCCGGATGTTTATCATTATTATATATTTATTCCCGCGAAATGAATGGATCCATCGTTCTTTTTTACACACAAGAAATTGGATCCGCGCAACACAGAAGTAGGATCCACGAAACTCTCCCACACCCGAAAAGAATTCAATTGGATCCATTGGCGTTCTCATATGTTCGTCCAAAAGGAAAAAAACTTTCGGCCTGGGGATGTAAGAAAGATCTGAGGATTCGAGGCATGCGTTGTGATCATTATGTTATACGGCGTGTTTGCCGCCTTCCTGAGCAAGACGGAGCGGAGAAGGCTAGACAACTGCCGAATACGTTGCATGAGATTTGGTGGGAATCCAGCAGGCAAATTACCACCGAGTGTCACATGCAACCGCGTCAGCAGTGGCAGGCGGGAGACCCATCAGCGAGAGCGTCATCAAGAGGCCAGCGCTGGTCATGGGCCAGCTGGCGCGACGCGTCGACACTGGCCCTGTCGGGCAGTCTGTGTACTCTGCCAGGTAGCCTTGGCCTTCGACTCCTGTCCGGACCGCGGCGACGGGAGCGCCCAGTGCAAGCGTTGGAAAAGGTGGTTGTTCGAACTTGTCCCGAGGTGGCTGGCTCCCACGACGCGCTGTCTGCACACGTCCGCTCATCGCGGGAGTTGGCAGTGATAGCATTGGCGCCCGAACACTACTGGGTAGCGCGCCGCAATTCGAAGTTGCGGCGCCCTAGTTCGCCTTGCTCGCGCGCCGTCTGGCGCAAGGCTCGCTCGCTCACTCGACCCTCCCTCCCAGTCCTCCTGACAGAAGGCAGCGGCACTAGGAGGGAGAGAGGAAAGAAGTGCGTGAGAGAGGGAAGAAGGGAGGGTCATATTGGGTGGGGGACGGAGCGATTGAGTGATGGAGGGAGGGAACTGGGGGAGAGCATGGAAAGAGAGAGAGAGAGAGAAAGAGATACAGAGAAGACGGATGGAGAGGATAGAGGTAATGTGGAGGGATGTAGGGTGAGCGGCGGGTGGAGGGTGGATAAATACAGAGGGAAGGTGGGGTCAGGATGTCTTCCGTCGGGCTGGCGGTGACAGAGATACGGTGGGGAACAGGTCGCGAACGCCAACTGCCTCTTCCCCGGTCTTGGCCATGCCGACTCCCGGGCCCAGGCTCGGTGGATAAGCCCCAGCGCTTGACAAGGCCAGGACAGCTCACCACCGGTCCCCCCTCTCCGACGCCTTAGGTTTTCATCGGTACGTTTAGGTCGGGCATGTCCCTCGACAGGGGGATGTTGTGCAAAAAATAGCACTACCCCGAAATGCCCCAAAATAGCCAACAAATGCTCACATGATACCGGAGAAAACCCCAATCAGGGCTATAGGGCTTTAGAGCTATAGGGCACCCCCGGGCACCCCTGGGCACGCCCGGACACCTGGGCACCCGGGCACCCGGGCACCCGAGCACCCCCGGGCACCCGGGCACCCGGGCGTGCGGCGAAAATCGGCGGCAAACCTAACCTAACCATATGAATCCACCACGACCCCTACACAGGCAAGCTCTGATTGGGGAACAAGCGCCCCCTGTCATTTTAATCAGAGTGAGGGGGCCCGAACGGTCATTCACTGTCCCTGGGTGCGTGGCTGAAGTGAGGATCCGTGGCGCGGATTCTGCTTCGTCTTGTTGTTGTTGTCGTCGTCCCACCCAAGAGCGACTCCGCGACCCACCCGCGACCCACCCCGCGACCCACCCGCGACCCACCCCGCGACCCACCCGCGACCCACCGCGACCCACCCCGTGACCAACTCGCGACCAACCCGCGACCCAAACCACGTTCAGGGTACAAACCACAATTTTCGGCGCCTGCGGCGGGCATCTTTTGCATTCGTTTCAGGTGGAGAGCCCGCGGCCCACCCGCGACCACGTTCAGGGTACAAACCACATTTTTCGGCGCCTGCGGCGGGCATCTTTTGCATTCGTTCCCGGTGGAGAACCCGCGGCCCACCCGCGACCCAAACCACGTTCAGTGTACAAACCATTTTTTGTTGGCGCCTGCGGCGGGCTGCCTTTGCATTCCTTCCAGGTGGAGGTGGAGAGCCCGCGACCCACCCGCGACCTAAACCACGTTCACTGAACAAACCAATGCCGCACAAGCGCGGCGGCGGATTTCTGCATGCCGCCTGAGCCCGCAAGGACCTCTTCAAGCCCCGCGCATCCACACCAGCCCGTCCAGCAACTCTGCCCTGGCGAGTTGCCCTAATCAAAGAAGGCGGGGATCATAAAGTGGAAAAAAGGATTCAGGGGACGAGGAGAACGCGGAAGAAGAGAGGATGTAAGGATAATTTGGAGAAAGACAGGAGGAGGAGCAGGAGGACGAGGAGGTGGAGGAGGGGGAGGAGGAAGACGAGGAGGGGGAGGAGGGGGAAGATGCTGATGATGATGATGATGATGATGATGATGACGATGATGATGATGATGATGATGATGATGATGATGATGGACGTCAATGGGAGGACGATGATGGAGGCCGATGAAGGGGAGGACGACACTGGGAGGACGATGATGAAAGGACGAAGGGGGGAGAGGGAGGACGAGGAAAAAGAGGAGGAGGAGGAGGACGAGGTGGAGGAGGAGGATGACGATGACGATGAGGACGAGGACGAGGAAGAGGAGGAGGAGGAGGAGGAGGAGGAGGAGGAGGACAGCGCCATCGACAGGGAAGGTGGGGGCCACGAGGTCCGCCGGCTCGACGACGCCCGCGTCGCCCGCGCCCACCCCCTCACTCTTATCCGCAATTGCGGGGTGCTACGTAAAACTATGTTTGATTACTCCTCCTGTAGAGGGACACGCCCGACTTAACAGTACGTGAAGCTATGGGGCTGTCGGCCACAACATCCCCAGACCCCCGACGTAATGATTTTTTATTACGTCGACCCCCAGAGGTCCCGACCCTTTCCCCATGACCGGCTTTGCATCCTGAGCCGTTTTTTGATGCTCCCGAGGCCAGGTGAGGGCCCCCAGAGGCCGAAAAGTAGGAAAAACCTCCCGTCATGATTTTTTCCTTACTCGAGGGGGTCTGGGTCCCAGGTGGACTTCGCGCGGGGGGCCGACGTCTGCTGGCCACGGGGGGCCTGCAGCGGGCCCCGGGAGGCGCTGGCTGCTGCGAGAGGACGGCCGAGGTCTGGGCCCGGGGCCTCCGTGTGGGGGCAGACTGGTCCGAGGAGCCTCTCGGGTGGCCCAAAAAGGGGTCCAGCTGCAAGGCGGTGGTGCAACAGATTTGGGGCGAAAGGGGTTGCGCCGAGAATTGTATGACGTCGTATTGCAACTGCTGCATTGCACGCGAGAGCCCAGCAAGACACTGGCGCCCCGAGGTGCATTGCACGCCCCAGAGGTATCGCAGCCCCACAAACCTGACTGCACCAAAACTATTGCACCACCCCCTTGTCGCTGGATCCCCGTTTGGGCCAACCCGAAGACTGGTCCGAGGAGCCTGGCCCTCCCGAGATCCATGGAAGGACCATTCTCCGCTGGCGAGATCGGAGCACGCAGTGGAGTGCCTTGCGGCTCACACCGTGCGTCGAAGAGCCAAGGCCCCTGAGTTGTCAAGGCTTCTGGTCGCTGTCGGCCGCTGCGGGGGCGTGCCGGGACTATGGGAGTTGCAGCTTGTGGAGAAGCCGTTGCTATTCGGGAGCGGCCAAGAGGGGGGTGTCCAAGAGGGGGGGGTGCAAATCATGACCGGCGGCATGTGCGCGGCCCAGCGGGGGGGCTGGGGACGTAATGAAATAAGAAGGGGCGCCATGAAATCTGGGGAAATATCATGGCCCCCGCCATGATATCCCCCCCCCCCTAGTCATCACTCCCCTCTTTGCCGCCCCCGAGCTATGTGTGCGACTACTCCGATCTGAGAGGGTGTGCGCCGGGCCAGGCGGGCCAGGTGTCCAAGAGCCTTTCCCCACCAAAGCGACCCCCGAGGGCCAGAGGTTCCGAAGGGCGAGGAGGTCCCCGCCTGCAATGCCACCGCTCAGCGCCAGGCCACTCCAGAGGGGAGCGTCGGGGGGGGGAGGCAGCGGCGTGGCTGCGCGAAGAAATTGTATGCACTTCTGGATTTGCGGGTGTCATCTCTGCGCAGGGGCCACGGTGACCCCCAGAGGCCCACGGTGAGCCCCAAAAGGCCTCCGGATGCATGCCCCCCCCAGGCCCCCCGGAGGCGCGCAGGGCACGGCGGAAGAATGGGCCCGTCACCTCCAGAGCTGTGGCATACAGTCAGCCCGTGTCACAAGGATGTGAGCGTTGTGTGGACTAGGCTGGCCAACGAACGTCGCTAAGGATGGGCCGAGGGGGCAAGGATGCAAGGGTACCCTTGGGAAGAGTGCCCAGTCCTTGTCGATCCAGCACACCGGCGAGAGGGGCAGGTGCAACCTAGGAGAGGCGCGCAGGGGCACATGTCCAGGATTGGCCTGGCCGAGGTCGCCAGTTGAGGTTGGCTGAGCAGGTCGCCGTCATGCCAGAGAGCGCGTCTTGGGAGAGAAGAGGCGCCTGTCCGCCCAGGTATCGCGCCATGTTGCCATGGCCGAACTCGTGGCAGAGCACGGTTATCAAGAGGATCGCCTGCACTCCCGTGGCCTGGGGGGGCGGACTCGATGTAGGGAGGGAGGGAGAGCCCACAATTCAGGACCTCATAACGAACATGGGGAAGCCGAACAAAGGGACTGCGTGATCGACAGGTCCTTCACCACCCAGGAAGACAACCAGTGCTAGGGCACTCCCCCTCCTCCATCAAACTGAGGCGACCCTGACTGATGTGTATCCTGCGGCGGCAGGGGCACAATGGATGCTTCAGGTTGGTCACACGGGTGGCCCAAAAAGCGCCACACCGAATGCAAGACACCGCGGGCACCGTGACCTCGGTCGCCCCGCCTCTCCAGGCAGCGCCCGCTCGTGCGGCGGCGCCTGCCGCTCACCGCCGCTGCTCCTCCTCCGCCTCCACCTGCGACGTCCTGCTTCGAGCCTCGCGCGCCTATCGCTGGACGAGCGCGCGCTACTGACGGGCCGGGGGGGTCGGCGGGGGGGAAGGGCGAGAGGTAGGAGGGAGAGGGGGTGAGACCAGCTAGGTGCGCTCACGCCAAATCTGGCATCGTATCCATTCCACTCATTCTTTCACATTGCGTGTTTTTCTCCATATCCGCCGACGGGTATCACATCGGACTTGGAACCCCACGAAGGACCCCAGCGTGTCATGTGCAATCCCAATGGGGACCTGTGCACATTGGACGAGCAGGCGGCGGATGAGCAGGAGGATGATGAGGAGGATGAGGAAGGAGGAGGGCGAGGAGAAACAGCAGCAGCAGGAGCAGGAGTGGGCGAAGCGGGAGGAACAGGATGACCAGGATAAGGCGGGGGAGGGGAAAGGAGCGGGGCGACACGGATGAGGAAGCACTCGGATCCAGAAACGTGGCGCGCGCTGGAGCGAGAGCGCCTCTCTCAACAACGGGAGCAAAGCGCCGATACGCGAATGGGGCCAGCGCTGTAGCGGGAGCACCATCTCGACACACCGAAGACGCTCCGATGACAAACACCATAGGAAACAACAACTCTGGTTTAGCAACGTGTGTGAAGAACAACACCAAGCAAACAGCACACAACCCTATACAAACAAAACAAACAACAACATTGGGGGAGGGCGGGCGACTCCCCATGCCATCTTCGGGGGGGGGGGAGAGAGAGAGAGAGAGAGAGAGAGAGAGAGAGAGAGAGAGAGAAACAAAAAAAGAAAGAAAGAGAGAGAGAGAGAGGAAAAACAAAGATGAGCGTAGTACACATGTCAACCTAGGTGCGTTCGCGCCAAATCTGGCATCCTATCCCTTCCACCCATCCCGTCCCGCTGCGCGGAATTATTTTCCATCCGCGGGCGGGTGTCATAACGGACCTGGAACTCCTAAAACGACCCTACGTGTTATGCGCATTCGGAACATAGGAGCTGCGTGCATAGGAGGAGGGGGGGGGGAGGAGTAGGAGGTGGCGGATGAGCAGGAGGGGGGGCGACAACGATGAAGAAGCACTCGGATCCAGAAAAGTGACCCGCGCTGGAGCGAGAGCGCGGTCCTGAACGACGAGAGCAGAGCGCCGATTCTAAAATGGGGCCAACGCTGCAGCGGGAGCACCAATCTGGAAGGACCAAAAACGCTCGGACAAGAAAACACAAGACATATCAAACGTTGAAATCCTGCGTTAAGCAACAAGCAATGCACGTAGAAGGCGGGACACTACAAATCTTCAGGGGAGAAAGGAGAGTACAACCAACCCGTAACATAAGAATGCGCGGTAAGGGTACAAAGGCCTTGTAAGGCCATGTTAACGCTTTTCGAACCAGGTTGGCCAGCCAGAGTCGCTAAGGATGGGCCGAGGGGGAAGGAAGCAAGGGTAACCTTGGAAAGTCGCTCATCCTTACTATGCGGGTTGACTGTGTTCATGCTGTGTGACTGTGGAGACATTGTGAACCCTCGACCTTCGTGTTCCGAGACTTCCGCGCAGCAGTTGCTACGTAGCGGCGGCGCCTGCAGGTTCGGAGGCTGGAGGTCAAGGGGAGGGGAGGTGGGGAGGGAAGGAAAGGCGACATCTTTCTTCTTGCCAGTTCGGACTTCGTGAAGATGTTTGCCGTTTGGAAGCATCCAGAGGCCTCCACCCGCCTCCAGGGGACCTCTGGAGGCCGCGAGGGAAAGAGGCATGAGTCTGATCCCCCTCCCCCGTTTCGGCCGGGTGTTGCCAAAAACGGCCCTGGCCCAAAGTGACCCAAGATTTGCCGTGGAGGCCCGGGTGAGCGACGAAAAGACGGGTGCCTTACACGTCATTCACTTCTAATCATGCTCATTTTTAAATGTGCTCGTGTCTAGTTGTTCCTGGCCCCCTAGTGGCCTGGAAGAGGCCCAGGATAGAACAATTAGAAATGAAAGGATCTTGCCCCCCAAAACAAAAATCAAAGAATTTTCGAGGAATTCGAGATGAACTGTGTACGCTTAATGGCATGGCGGCCTCACGCGGTGGCTTTCGCGGGCCGCCGGCGCAAGCCGGATGGGGAACGATGGCGCTCACGCGCGGCCCTGCGCGGGCATCTTGCACGCCAGCGTCGGTGAAGCCGGCCTCGTTGTTCTGCGTCGCTCGGGTGGCCTCCAGAGCACCCTTCTTCACGATATGTCCAGGGGCTCCAGAACGGCGAACAAAAAGCTGGGGGCACCTTGGGCCAGGATCCAATAAGTGGCATGAGCGAGCGGGGTCTTGGTGGAAACGGGCCTTGGACCCTGGATCCTGGGCCTTTTCAATGGACCAGCGTTCCACCACGAGCTGGTTCGTTGACGGCCCTGGGGACGGGGGATGCCCTGGGAGCCCACAAACCGAATGAAACCTGCAGGACTCCTTTCTTCCAGGAGAACTGATACTATAAAAACATAGTTATCCGCCAGAATTGTCTTGTCATATCCTTCACGAGCGTGAGAAAAACAAAGGTCCCTTCCCTGCATGGCGGCTCCTCATGGCACCTCTACCCCGTCCACCCCCACCCCTCTAACCCGAAGGCAAAACGCAAAACGAGGATGACATACATCGGGAATATTTGAGAGACGGCGGATCTGGAGGATGTGGCGGGGCGCCGCGGCCTTTCCAGAGCGCTCCAGAACGCTCTAAGAGCGCCGCGGAACGCTCTCAGGGTGATTCGTCCCCGTCCTGGTGCACGGCTTTCCCCGGGGCCGTAGGCGACCCGAGGAGAAGGAGGAGGAGGAAGAGGAGGAGGAGGAGAGGGAGGGGGAGAGGGAGGAGGAGGAGGAGGAGGAGGAGTAGGAGGAGGAGGAGCAGGAGGAGGAGGAGCTGGAGGAGGAGGAGGAGGAGGAGGAGGAGGAGGAGGACGGATCGCCTAAGCCCTCCGGAGAAACCCTCCAACACAGCATCGCGACGGCGTTTCATCCTGCCTTTTTTGACGGCCTCAGGGCCTGGCGAGTGCCGAACGTGGCGACCAACATTTCGCCTTGTCTCAATACGTTGGAGGCCTGAGCTGTTACAGTGAATAGCCTGGTAACCTCGGTCACCTAACTTCGCGAGTCACGCTTGGCGATACGCGACGCGCGGTATCTTCACGCCTTCGAGCCGCCCCCTTGTAGAAGGGCAACCGCTCTGACTTGGACAGCGACGCTCGAAGCGCGGTTGTCTTCGCGCCCATAGGGGTGACCCAGGTAACCTCTTGGGAACCTCTGCCAACCCCTTACTGTAGCCTCTGCTAGACCCTACCCCGGCATCCGACGATGTGTGTTTGTCGGAGCGCAGCCTGAGAAGAAGTCCGAGCCCCTTCTCTGGGGGTAGTTCTTCGTCCCCGTTCCATGTTTGATGCTCCTGGGGCCCGACTCGACAGCGGAACCCAGAGCCCGAAATCGAGGAAACACGCCTGGGCTGAAAACAGCGTTACCACCGTCGGAGATCTGCGCAGTAACCTCTGCTACGGCCCTGTCCCGTCCCCCACCGCCGCCGCCCCCGTCCTCGCCCCCCGTCGCCCTCTGAGAGAGAGGCGCGGCGGGGTCGCCACGAGGATCGAGAAGAGCAGGACCGAGCCCGACGCGCTGCCCTGGCCTCGCACGATCTGGTAGATCTGGAAGCCGTACATCTCGGCCGCCGCTCCGCCGCCGCCCCCGCCCTCTCCCCCCCTCGCCCCCGGAACGAGAGAGGCGCGGCGGGGTCGCCGCGAGGACTGAGCAGAGCAGGACCGAGGCAGACGCGCTGCACCGGCCTCGCACGACCTGGCAGAGCTTGAAGCCGTGCGCCTCGGCCGCCGCTCTGGCGAGCGACGAGCTCCCAGGTGTCCGACGACGTGTCGCTTCAATGCGCTGGCCGTTGCTGGAAGTCTCTGCCTCGGGGCCTGGCGTCGGGCCCCACGGGGCGCACGAGGACACACCGGCACTGTGTGCCCTCCTCGGAGGCGTGCGCCCGACCCGAACATGAAGTATAACCACCCCGTAGTGTAGCGGTTCCCGAGCGGCATGGCCCAACAAAGAAACGCCCGCCGCGACGCATCTACTGTGTGATTTCTCGGAGCGCGCGTCGCCCCTTGGGGGGGCGACGCACACATGGTGTCAGCATGCGGGGGTGACGCCGACCCCAGGACAATCGGACATGAGAGGAGGAGGAGGAGGAGCAGGAGGAGGAGGAGGAGGAGGAGGAGGAGGGCCAAAAAGTTGCCCCCTGGAGAGGGGCCGGGGCCCTGACAGCACCACGTCGCCGGATGCCTGGGCACCTCTGCGAGGCAGGTGCCGGCGGCACAGGCGGCCGCCGCCGGCAAGCGGTGGGCACGCCGAGGTGCCGTCCCCTCGCGGCCTGGGCCCAAACATCCAGCGCACAGGGCCGAATCAGGGCGGAGGCTCTTGGCCGTCGACGGCCTCCTGGGGCCTTCACGGGATTTCTGGGGCCGTCAAAGAGCGGCCCAGGATGAAAGGCCGGGTCTCCTGCTGCACCCATCGGAACGACTCAGCAGATGTCCGCCGCATGCCAAGGTCCCCAAAAATCGATCCCCCAGACAGCGGTTATGGATAAGTCGCCGCCTTGGGGCGACAAGCGAGGTGCGCTCGAGCCTGTGTTCTGGGTTGCTGAGGGCGCGTCTCCAAGAACAGCTAAGCATCATGGCGACAGGTCTCGATGCTGTCAGACTTGCCAACCAGTCTCCAAGGCTCCCAGGCAGGCATCCCCGCAGCCCCTTGCTTGAGGTTGCAGCGTGTCCCGAGAGCGTTTTTTTACTCGGCCCAACGCGCGTGCCGAAAGCCTTTCCGCGGCTCTAGTGAAGCTTCCCGAGCTCCTGCACAGCTCCCTCGTTCCCGGATAGCTCTCTGAGGGCAAAGAGGGCTTCAGGTGAGATGCGAGTGCGACCGTCAGAAAAAACGACTCGGAGTGAGAAGCTGGTCCTGGGGGTGCGACACCCGCTTCTTTCAGAATCCCGCTCCTGCATGGCGACCAGATGTCCCAAGCTGTTCCGTCTCGGTGCCTCGTGAGAGGTGATCTGGACTCCGTGGGGGGGCCTCCTCGGAAATCCTGGGGGGACCTTGGGCCAGGGATGCCTCGGGCAACACCCGGCGTGTGTAGCTCGACTGCACCCAGTCGGGACATCGTGACCTTACGCGGTGGCTTACGCAGGCCGCCAACGCGGCAAACCACGCGGACAAGAAACCACTCAGGCGCGACCTTCTGCGGGCAACTTACGCGCAAATGTTCGCGCGAAAATCATGCTTCTGCGTCGTCAAAATAACCCACGCCGTTTCCCGTAAAATCTGACGCTTCTAGCTGCTGGGCCGCCGGCCATGAAGACGTAGTACGAGACTTTGATGGGCGCCCCGCATATGGTTCCTGCCCTCCTCGCCCGCGCTGGCTGCCCGATATTTGTGCTGTTCCCGCCAGCCGCCGTAGTCTAATTCGTGTCATCTCCCCCCTTCTTTCCCCTTCCCTCCCTCAATCATTATCCCGTTCTCGTCCTCCCCGTCTCCCCCGTCGAACGGAGGACGCGCTGCAAAACAACATAATCGATATTACCATACGTGACGTGTACGAAACGTAAAGCAAACTATACGGAACGCCGTCGGAAAGACCACGAAACGTATTTTCAACTTATACAAAGGTAACACAAAGTAGATGGAGCGCTTACGAAGCGCAGACGAAACGCATGAAAAAGGAAAGCGCGTAAGCAGAACTCGCACGAACTCGAAGCGAATATTCCTCGCAATATATATATATATATATATAGACACATGCATCGAGGTTTCGCGGACAATTCGTGAAACGTGGATGCAGCGCATGCGAAACGTATATGGAAACGACAACGAAACGCAGCTGAAACGCAGGGGAAACGAGTATGGAAAGAACATGCAACGTGTACGAAATCGGAAGGCAAGTATGTGCAACATGTGTGAACTGTGTACGAGGGCCGTATGAAACGCGAGTGAAATCTACAGGACACGTCTATGAAACGCTTACGAACGTATATGGCATGTTCATGGGACGACACGTATAAGTTGCATGTACGGAGCGCACATGTAACTTACATGAAGCATTGCTGTCGTATGTCCTGTTTAAACTGTGGGTTATACAACAACGCGTGAGACACGTATAAAAGGCAACCGAAAAACGGAACCGAGAAGTATAGGGAACGGGAACGACACGTATGTGAAACGCATAGGAAACGTACATGGAGCGTTGACGGCACGCACACGAAACGTAAACCAGACGTATACGACAACGCATGCTACGCATGCTACACGCATACCAAAAAAATTACGCGACGTAAGCAATAACGTGCATAACGTGCCGACGAAACTTACGCGTCTGGCGGGCGAACGCAATGTACATGAACCGTATACACAAAGTACACACCACGCATATGCAACGTGCAGATAACACGTTCGCAACGTACGGGGTGTGTATACGAAACGCAAAATCAATCTCTACACAGCATAGGCGTAACAAGCATGAAACGCACGCGGGCCGTGCGGAGAACAAAAATGAAATAGCATCAAAACGAAGCGCAATCGAAACCCACGCGACACGCACAAAAAACGTATACGAAACGAGCACGGCACGAAAACGGAACGCATTGGAAAAAAAACTCGATGACAAGTGCGCTTCACGTGTATGGGCCGCGCACGCAACGAAAATAACACATTACACGATGGTGCACCATCAACAAACGAAACGCACACGGAACGTATACGCCACGGACACGGCAAGTATATAAACCATGTACACCGCATGAAGCGTGTATGAAACGCAAACGGAGTGCATGCGGAACGCATAGCAAACGTGAGCGAAACATATCACAAAACGCAGATGGACCGTATATGGGCTGCACACGGCATGTATACGAAACGCGTATGGAACGGTTGCGAACAGATGTGGAACATGCATGTCCGATGTGCGGAACGTATGTGGAACCTGTGTGAAACGTATACGAAACGTGTGATAAACATGATTCCGAACATTAAAAACGAAACACACCAGAAACCAGTGTGGCGCGCATGCAAACATCATATAACACGCATAATAAACGCAAATCATGTATATGTATACATATGTACGTAATGTGTATCGTATATATGTATGTATGTATGTATGTCTGTATGTATGTATGTATATATGTATGTATATGTGTATATATATACATATACACATACATATGTATATGTATGAGAAAATAACATGTGCACGGAGTGTATATACAACGTATACGAAACGTAAACGAAGAGCGTATAAAACTCATGCGAAACGCACATGGGACGCATTTGAACCGTATATGGGACCTGCGTGAAGCGAATACGTATACGAAAGCACATATGAATGTAAAGAACACGCTGACGAAACATATACGAAACCTATACGGCACGTAGAACAAGCCTAAGAGCCTATGCCAACCGTTGTCGCCGAAACGTGTTCGAAACGAACAGCAAATGTGTACACAGCGTTTACTCAACGCGGGCGAAGCGTATTAAACGTGCGTATGAGGCGGATGAAATGGGAACGTGGAACGCCGCAGCGTCAAACGTAGATTGACAAAATGATAAACGCAAGCGAAGCGTCACTCAAAAGTATATACGGCTGACCTTAAACGTATACCAAACGCACATGGGGCGCATGATAAACGTATACGGCACGTATACCAATAGTATACATAACGTATACGGAACGTATGCCGCACGTACTTGAACCGTGTAGAACACGCACGCCAAACGTATATACCACAATGTACAGCACATACATCGACGAATAACACAACACGAAACGTAAACGTAACAAACACGAATCACGAAAACTGCACGTATACGAGACGTACATCCCACGTACGCTGCATGTCCCAAGGCGCTTCGAGGGCGCTCTAAGGGAACGCTCCCCCAGAGCGCCCCCACCTACACAGGGAGCGCACCCTCTGCGCCCCCAGGGAACCACCACTCAGGGCGCCCCCGGTGAGCCCCCAAAGAAAGCTCCCAAGGCGTTTACAGAGCGCCCCCGGGGCACTTCCAGGGCGCCCCCAGGGCGTTCCCAGAGCGCTTCGAAATGCTCCCAAGGAACGCTCCCACGCTCCAAGGGCGTTCTCAAGGTGCCCCCGGGGCATACCAAGGAACTGTTCCCTGGCCGCCCCCAGGGCGCCTCCATGAAGCGCCCCGAGGGCGCTCGCAGGGTGCCCCCAAGGGCCAACCGAGAGCGGACAACCCCGACTACGACTACGACTACTAGAACGACTCCGAGAACTATTACGACTACTACGACTACTACGACTACTACGACTACTACGATTACTACGACTACTACTACTACTACTACTACTACTACTACTACTACTACTACTACTACTACTACTACTACTACTACTACTACTACTACTACTACTACTACTACTACTACTACTACTACTACTACTACTACTACTACTACTACTACTACTACTACTACTACTACTACTACTACTACTACTACTACTACTACTACTACTACTACTACTACTACTACTACTACTACTACTACTACTACGACTACTACTACTACTACTACTACTACTAGTACTACTACTACTACTACTACTACTACTACTACTACTACTGCGACTACTGCTGCTACTACTGCTACTGCTCGTACTCTTACTACTACGATTACTACAACTACTATCACTACCACGACGGCTACGACTACGACTACGACAACAACTACAGCTACGATTACGACTCCAACATCTACCACGAGTACGACCAGGACTACGACTACCACTACTAGTACGACTACTGCTACTACTACTACTACTACTACTACTTCTACTCCTACTCTACTACGACTACTATTACTAGTTCTATGCCTACCACTTCTACTACTGCCAGTACAACTACTACTACTACTACTACTACTACTACTACTACTACTACTACTACTACTACTCCTACTACTACTACGACTACTACTACTACTACTACTACTACTACTACTACTACTACTACTACGACCACTACTATTACGACGACGACTAAGAAGACTACTACTACTACTACTACTACTACTACTACTACTACTACCACTACTACTACTACTAGTGCGCCTACTATTACGACTACTAGTACCACTACTGCTACTACCACTACCACTACTACGACTACTACTACTACTACTACTACTACCACCACTACGACCTACTACCCCTACGGCTACGACTACTACTGCTACTGCTGATACTACTACTACTACTACTACTACTACTACTACTACTACCACTACTACTACTACTACTACTACTACTACTACTACTACTACTACTACTACTACTACTACTACTTCCTCTACTACCACTACGACTGGAGTGAAACGTATCCTTCGTGTCTACTGAAAATGACTGGTGAAGGGTACGGGCTCTGTTTTGGGATTGCCTTTCTAGCGCATTTCTATGGCATTCCTGTGATATTCTGTTTCTCATTCCCGTTGAATGCTTGGCTCATTCCTCCTGTATCCCGAGTTGCTTCTTATGCTATTCCGATTGCATTCCGAATGCATTCCTATTGCGCTGGCATTGTACAGCTATTGTATTAAAATTGTCCCCCATGTGTAATCCGACTGTATGTTTATTGCACGCCCATGTGTTGCCAATTGCATGCCGGGCGCATTCCTATAGAACTCATCGGTTATTCGTATGGGCTTCCTATGATATGCTTACCCTGCTCCTTCTGTGTTCCGAATGTATTCCTGACGTACGCCAATGTTTTCCGATTGTGGTCCTGTTTGGTTTCCATTGTACCCCGATTGGTTTCGGAGTGTATGCCTAATGCGGTCCAACTGTCATCCTAGTGTATTCATACAGTGAATTGGTTTTAAACTTGTTTTGCAAGTAGATCAACGTTGTAGGACAGTTGCACTCCAAGTATACTCCTGGTGTCTGCTGGTTGCATGCCTATTACGTACTCAATGCACCCCAGGGTACTCACAGTGCAATATCATTCTATCCCGATTGTCGCCCTACCCACTACTACGACTACTATTACGACTGCTACTGCTACTACTACTACTACTACTACTACGAGTACTACTGAAGCTAGTACAACTACTGTTACTGCTACTACTACTACTACTACTGCAAATACTACGACTACGACTACTACTACTACTACTACTACTACTACTACTACTACTACGACTACTACTACTACTACTACTACTACTACTACTACTGCTGCTAATACTACTACTACTACTACTACTACTACTACTACTACTACTACTCCTACTACTACTACTACTACTACTACTACTTCTGCTATTACTACTACCACGACAACAAAAACTACTACTACTGCTACTACTGCTACGATTAGAATGGCAAATGC